CATATTTTATTCTTATCCAACAATAGTTTACATTTATCGTCAAAAAAAAAAAAAAAAAATTTTAGGTAAATGAGATTTCTGTGAAGGAATAAATAAATTTCATAGCAGATGAATATCGTTTTGCACATGGAAGATGACAAACAATTAGTATAAACAAATTTGTGAAACAACAGATAAACAAATGGCAAATAAACAAACAGGAAAATACTAGTAAACAAAATTGTTTTCAAGTAAAAATTCCGAAAAAAAAGCGAAATCCATTCTGTAATTATTTGCATATATTTGTTATAACGAAATATTACCAAAATATATGACAAACACAGTTTGGCAGTAAAGACAACTTCAGAATTGCGAAGACTTTACGTAAATATATAGTATGAGTAGTATCAAAAAGATATTACAACACAGTCTAAGTGAAACTACTTTCATGCTCACTTAAAGGATGTCGAAATGCCGAAATAATAAAAACTGCCAAATAGGTCTGGTGATTTCAAAATTCGGGATTATAACTAATTCTCATTTGCAATTTACATGTGGATAGTAGAATATTTTCAAGGAAGCTCACAAAAGGCTTTGCACTCCCACATGAAATTTTGATTTCTCCAAATTTTGAATAAATTAAATTGTCAGCGGCAAAGAAAAATCTTGGGGGACAATGAATCACTTGACGAACCAACCAGGCATAATTCGTTAATAATTGAATTTTAAAACTTTCCTACTTCAAACTATATAATACTCAGTATAATTCAGTATTAGAAAAGCTGTAAAAAGTGTATAACGGCAGAAGATAAAAAAGAACATCACGTGAATGAAATGTTGAAACATTCTTTTATATCAAAAATATTTACAAAACTTTAAAAATTAGAAATAAACAGTTCATTCAAGTACTATAACACAGGATGGTAGGGAAAAATAGATTAGATACACATGAAAATAAGGCCAAATAGGCAACATTATTTCTTTGCAAGCTCCTTCATTGTCGTACCACTGCATCCTACATTTTCCGGATCCAAATTCAGGAACTGAATGATACAGTGCGCTGGATCGATATCCAACGTTTTCTTCATGAATTCTGATATTGACGAGGAGTATTTGATGTTTTTATCAGCCGAAAATGACCCAATTGACTTAACCTAGAAGTTTCGAATACAAGCATATCGAGATGCAAACTGATATTGATTAATAAAAAATGATATAATCTGAAAGACTGATAATGAAGTTTGTTTCAACTGCTAAAATGGTTAGTCTTATGTCCTAGAAAACGTTGAGATAAGTGAATACAGTATATACCCCTAACCTATAACTTCAATTTCACCACATCTCCCGTACGTTCATATCTAATAAACAGAACAACTCAAGATTTATACTTTATTAAATTCTCGAACAATATTGGCAGTGTTAGGATTTGATTGTTTCATAGCGTGATATATCAATCAGATAAGTGTTTGGAGAATGGACTCAGTGCGAGATTGAAGGAGCAGGTAAGGAAGTGTGGGGTTATCAGAGAGGTCGAGGGAATGGTGGGATTAGAGTGTATGGTGAATTCTTGTTCCTAAATTTCCATAAAAAACTAAAATATGAGAAGAGAAGATAGAAACTTCCAATATCATTAGGAGTATTGACCAATGACTAATGTAAATTTAAGTTTTCTGCATTTCTCCTATAAGGGAAACAAACATACAACGGCAAAAGAACGTATGGGAAAGATGACAGACAAAACACTTCTGTCATTTTTGGTTTTAGCTATTTGACCCAAACCGTATAGATTGGTTTTGGTAATGAAATGTTGATAGGTTTTCCTCCACGAGAATTGAGAGGTGTTGTGAATGTAACATACGTTTAGGTTGCCGTGGAAGATGCCATGAGCTCGGATGAGTGTTTAGGACATGCAGAAGGCGACATGCTGTTCATCTGATCGCGTTTTCATATAAACGGATATTTAAAAGTATATGACTTCAAATACTTATGTAACGTGATGTTTAGCATTATTGGCGGTGGTGCAAAATGTCTGTTGGAGGAAGAGGTAGCTCGTCACGTGGGAGCATACTAAAGAGGGGTCATGCGCCGTTACCGAATCTTTCTATTGCGGGAAAACGCGAAACAAAGTGTGAATCAACCGGGTATTCTGCTTGTTTTTTCCCTAGCGTTGACTATTTTATCGAGTATCATTTGTTGCTTTCCCTCTGGCCATTTTTTTCCTCTTTTTTTGCAAATAATTACAATAATCCGAAGAGAGGAAAAACAGAAAAACATGTTTTATAGGGAAAATCCTTCATGTTTTTCTAGAACGAAGGGAACTCGTCGAGGAGGAAGGCGTGATCGAGGAGGACGTGGAAGGTGTGGACGTGATCGAGGTCGAGAAACAGGAAGACAGCTGTTGATAGAGCAACAGGGGATATTTTCTTCGGGTTTAAATGACGACGGGCGACATAACAGAATAAAAAGTAGCATATCGAGCGGTAAATTTCTGATTCTTGCTATCAAATTTTTGTGGATCAGTAAACTCTGGGACGAAATGGATAGTTATAATGTGCTGATGATAAGGTTGTAACTGAAGCAGATGTTACAGAATTGCGCACAACAAATTTTGGACGAGTGAAAAAAGTAGATCCAGAACATGTGACGAAGGAGAGAGATATAAACTCCATAACGTATGAATCAGAATGGTTGTCTGATGAAGAGGCTGATAATGAGGAACTGCAAGATTTGCTACGGGATGGGGTACAGTTGTTCTAATTCTAATCCTAATTCTTTGGCCGAATATGGACAAATGCAGTTCAGTTTTGTCTCTCCCTGATGTATGTATGTCATACAATGGGATAGGTCATCAAGTTATTCATAGTGAGTAAAAAACAAAGCAAAAGAAAACAAACAAAAAAAAAGAAAGCAAATCACAGCGAGCGTTATTATAAGTCGTTATTATAGGTCATTACGAGATCATTTTGATCTAAGCAGTGCTTTATTTTGTATTCGAAAGTTAAATACGAATGGATTGTACTTGTTTCCAGTTCTTGTCAGACTTGAAACCGGGAAAAGTTGTCCCACTAGTCTTACCAGAAACAGAGCAAGAACAGTTCCAGAAATTAGTTAAGGAAGAGAAAAACGTGAATGGTTGTGAATTTATGGATACGAGTCCTCTGCTACCGACAAAGAGAAGGTTAGTTTTGGATGTTACCCTGAAACGTTTATTTCTTTTTTTTTTACTTTCTATATGTAACTATATTATTATGTGTAGCGTTATTTATTTGCAGAAGGAAGGACAACCAGCACGTTAAATCGGAATATGAATTTGAAGAAGACGTCAAGAAATTACAGTTAAAGGAGGAGCCGGATACAGTTAACACAGTGTTGAATCCAACCGCAACAAGCAGTCTTAGGGCAGCTACTATCATGCGGGAAATTCAGAAAGGTGTCCGTCCCGCGACCATGCTGTCATGTAGATACCTGATGTTATGACCTCAAAATGTATTCGTCCGTTGTTAACAATTAATAGATTTCAGATGAAGATGATTCAATTTTGATGTTGCAATTGCCAAGTACTTTGTCCGCTGTCAAAAACTCAGCTGGTCAAGAGGACAGAGCAGAGGGATCCAAGGTTAAATTTCGCCTGCATAATTTTGTTCCGTATTTGTAACGGTAACTCTTTGATGCATTTTTCTCAATGTCCATTCACCAACCGCAGCCAAATATAGCTCTTCTACGACTTGTATTCGATCATGCTGTATTCTTGCTGTTCTTCCTTTCTGCGTCTTCATGCGTTCTTTTGGGACTAATTGGGTCCGTCTTTTGTATTACTAGTTCTTTTACATTTCGTTTACTAATTATTTCCGAGTTACGTCGTTTTAGTCCGAAGAGAACACATGTCCAACAGTAAAACACTGTCTTGATGGTTTTGCAAATGGTAGCAAAGTTGGAAAACTACGAATACGAAAAGGAGGTCGCATGGAACTGTCGTTTTGTGGGATGCCTTTGGATGTAACTTGTGGTGTTGCTACAAGATATAATGAGGTTACCCGTTTTTTTTTTCTCGTCACTGGCTTGCTGCTTCGGCAGATTTGATAAGATTCTTACAACGTAGCAATACTCTACACTATTTAAACATGTGGTAAATTGCAGTTATGCCTGGAAGTGAATACTGCGGGAATGATATCTTATTAAAGGAGTCATTAGCACTGGATTCCCGAGAATATTTTTCGATATTTTTTTTTGCCAAAAGACATTCTGCGAAAATTTGAAAATTTCAGTCAGTATTACTAATCGATTCTGAGAGTCAAACAACAGCTTCGACGATCAAGAGTGAATGTGGCGATGAACAGCCACCATGCAGAGGTTATATTCTAGGTAAAATTGTAGATTCTTTCATTTGTTCGCATAATCTTCCGGAGGCTCTTGATAGTAAACGAGAAGAGCAGCAACGAGATAAACGAAAATCTTATGAGAATAACCAAGGAGATAAAAGAGAAGATTTGGAAATGAAAGACTTACTTCTCGAATTACGTTCAATTGAAAAAAAAGAAGAATCCTGGTCAAAATGGACTTTAGAATATTCGGATTCTTTGAAATACGATGACTCATAGTATTTGTTACATTAGAATTTCTATATTTCCTGGTATTTGGTTATTAATACGCCTGGGAAACATCTATGACATTTCGAGATGTGCCTTGTCTTTTCATCTGCTTTTAGACACCTTTAAATAAGTTCACTTATATCTGAAAGTATTTCCCGGTTCTTTCTGGTTCTCCTATATTTTTATTGTTTTCAGATGTACACTTTTAAGAAATTTGAAGACTATTTCAGGAATTATTTACTGAAATTATATAATTTGTTTCCTTAACTTGACTAATACGGGTTGATCTTTGTTTATTGATGGCTTCTTGCTTTGTTTTGCCACTGAGGCAGTTTCTTCTTTAGAATAGTTATTTTAATAGGAAAAGATCATTGTTTCAAATTTCATTTCCGACAAAGTTGTAATCCGTTGCTGCTCTAATGGAACTTTTGGGAGAGTGTGCAATTTCGAAAGAGTTTTATCCGTATCTGTACGTCGAGGTTGTTAATTGTTACGTAAATCATTCAATTGTATGGTATCGACCTTATAAGCTAAAAATAAAAAGGAAGCGGAATTCAGTAAATCAAACTGACCACGATAAGACATGATGGATCTCGCATAGTACCATGTGACAACTGTGCATTTGGTGTTACCAGTAAGAGTATCCGACTTGTTGGCTTTCCTAACATTTCCGCCATTAACTCCGTAAACTGGACATCGAAATCACTCGGAAATTTACTCGCGGGAACATTCGAAGCAAGAGTTATCAGCGGCATTCTAGAATATTGCTTTGCAAATATAGTTTTTGAATATGAATTTCAAAGAAGAACCGGGGATATGACAAGTCTTCTTCCTCGAGAAGTAGACGATTGCATGTTTCGATCTTCCAGCGCTTCGTTTATTTTTTCATAGGAAAACCTGAGGTGTAAGGACGGTTATGCATATTTTCCTACCATTAAGTTGGAAAGCATTCGTGGCATAACCTTTTACAATTGCACTCACGGTATCTTTTGTCGGATTTTTTCATTAACCGTAAGAATCTGAGAACCTCGAAGTGATAAAATAAATGAATAAATAGAAACTTCGCTAATGAAATCTGGCTAGGTAAGTAAATGTAACAAATTCTAACTACGGAAGAAGTTCAGAACATCTAAAAAGATGTGAGACGTAAATCCATTACCTATTACTCTAGGCTTTCAGATTACACATATCTTTGTTAAATGGAGATTAGCAAAGATACTCATAGGAACTGCCTACAACTCAATAATTAAAGTGAATGGATAATGAATCGATGAACAGACACTTGAAATGGTATGTAAGTACAGGAAGTAAAAATTAAATGCAATGCATTCATGACCTTTTAAATAAATAAGTCCAAATGAATTATATAATCCACAAAGTAACAGCTTATTTATATGCCCCAGACATAATTGTAAAAGGAAGTTCGTGATACATGACTCTAGAAGAAAGTTTATGATACAGACTACTGGGTCAGCCATCCCGGTTAATCTACTATTTTGAACCTATGAGCATCTTTTCACAACCGGATCAAATAAGTTGCTGCATTTTACTCAGATTCTACTTATCTACTTCTACTTTACTTATCGTTCTACTTATCATGCTGCACCACTGCTATTAACCTATACCAGAAATAAGCGACAGCGCAACGGTTGTCAACATGTGCTTAAAAGATGTGTCGAAAGAACCTTCCTTTTTTTTTCTAAGAGAGTCACTAACGAATCAATTTTAAAGAAATCATATCAAAATTAGAGATCAACATAAGAAATCAATCAATACCTCACGTAAATTTCGTCCATAATAATCAGTCGTAAATCGTATTCTAGAGAAGCTAATAAAGTCGTCTTTCCTCTTCTAGCACTAATATAAAACAAATGACATGCAAAAATACACAATAATTGGATGGATAGGAAGATGCAACATTTTGTTAAAGTTATGCCGAATTACTTAGTCTCATAGTTTAAAAGAAATCGTTCTCTTTAAGTTGAAATAAACAAAACGTGTAGCACACGTCTTGATAGACTAAATCAGTACATCTCTTCCTTTTATCAATATTATCTAACGGATCAAACATTTTTCTAAATCTTTTCGCGAATAAAGTTTTACGCCAAGTTTAACCTATTCCGAGGTCTCAAGTTCTTCAAACTACACATTTCACCACACGACACAGTAATAAAGGTATAAACAGTTCACTTTAATGTCCATCAAACTACCCACTTCACTATACAACACAGTAATGGATGTACAGGTAGTTTACCCAATGCCACATCCATTCACGTCATATGTGCAAGAAAAACGCACGGCAAAAATCAATCAATATTTTTCATTTGTTAGCAATACATTTTTTCTAAGTAGCAGTTTTTTCTTTTCTTCAATTTGCTAAAAAACTACGCCATTAAAGTAGCCTTGACAAAGGTCAACCGTGTCATTGTCAGTCATCGACTCGATTAGTCTCAGGTTATCAACTCATCTGGTCGGGACCGAGCATCATATTTTGCAGCCGAATGTAGTTCTTGAAGATAACATTCATTTTTATCTAACCGTTACGATTCAATCTAAGATTTCCAGCAAAAGCAAAAAGACATTCAGAACGCTACAAATTACTCGATGTTGTTAGAGGATTTCATCGTAAATTATCGAAATCCTCAGCGGCCATCCAGATGATGAATATTTGTATATGTAGTAGTTGGAGGATATGAAATCACAGGTTCATTTTTTTTGAACGGAGCTAATCAAATGATCTCAGTGCTTACAATTTTGAAGACTCAAACGACGGACAAAATGGATTTTAAATTGGTACAGAAGTAGGTATAAAAGTCTAAGCTTCCCGACGAGTAAGGTAAACTTGAAAATTACTCCAACACTTGGAATTTAAGTTATTCTTAACTACCTCCCACATTTTTGATAACAAATAAAACCCAAAATATTAATAGTAACATCCATTCATGAAGTTATGATTCAAAAGCGATAGCATTTTCGAACGGGATTATCCTTTTATGCATCCAGCAAGTGGACGGTTTAATAATGCACTGTAAATGATTTATACTCATATCTTCAATAACTTTAAAGATCGTTGTTGGTCACTGTAACACTTTGTAATTAATGAGACAGATAAAACAGTAGAAGCAAATGAAAGTTTAAAGCTGAACACCAGGAAAGTTAATTCCTTCTTAAATCATGGTAAAAATGCATATTCAAACATTTTCTGACGCAAAAACTGGTGAAGGCAATTGAAATACAATCATTTTTCGAATCTTGATATCATGTTATGCATTCCTCCAAATTTAAAATTGTGTTCATAAATTACTATAGATGAAAAACAAATAATGGTGAGTTGTTGGACTGTTACAAATGCGTTCTCAAATGCTGATGCAAAGAATAAAAAAAGTAATCGAATGATTATAGTGTTAACAATTTTAAATACTTGAACGACGCAATCAAGTGGATTTTAAATTTGTACAGAAACAGGGGTAAAAATTTGAACCTTCGAATAAATCAGTGATCTGAAAATTACCCTAGCACTTGGAATTTATCTTACTCTTAACTTCCTCCTAGATTTCTGGTAACAAATAAAACCCAAAGTATTAATAGTTTCGCAAGGAATTAATATTTAAGAATTGCTATCCCCGGTTAAAAATGCATGTTTTTCTGGAAACAAACTATTTTGATGCAAAATGCGTGAAAAGTTTGTGTTTTCTAAGGAATGAAACCTTAACAAAGAAGTTTACGACATTAAAAAATTGAAGAATTCTGTAACAAAAGATACAGTCAGCTATACTCAGTATCGGTAAATACAGAATACAGTTAACAATCATAACAGCGCTGTGAGCTGTTACTGCTAAGATATTTTTCAATTACAGGCTTCAAACTAAAGGCTACATTCGTCTTCATTCACTGATTTTAACGTCTTCCTCACCATAGTCTCGGCGTGCACGATCGAATTTACGAAGTTTACGAGCACGAGCATGCTGTCCTTAAAAAGATACTAATATTCGAGAATAAAAGTAGTTAATATGAAAGAAAACAAATCCAAGCATACTTTGTTCTCGTTTTTGTCGCTCTAAAACTTCAGCCATATCAACTGTGTTGTATTTCACAAATAAAGGATCCTTGACAATAGCTTCTTCCACTCGAACTAGTTCATATGCTTAAACAACAAAGTCGAAAAGATCTATAATGAAATTCTACTTTCATGTTTAACAAAATAGAAGAAAAACCTAGTCAAAACAATGTTATAGAGCTTACTCCCTTGCTGATCACGACGATATACAGGCTTTTCACCAAGCCAACGACGAATGGGAGCAACGCGATTCCTCGTTGAACGTCGCAAACCTTGCTCTGCTTCTTCGCAATGTACTGGAAGGGACAAACTTCTACTACAGAAATTCAGACATTTCATAACTTGGGAAGTGTACAATAGTAACTACATATAAGAAACCGTGATTCAGTAAACGACACCTATTTTGCGGGCACATAGAACAGCAGCATGTTTGTTTTCATCCTTAGCCGCTATAATGTGCACGGGAGAGATCGAGGTATCGTCAGATGGATTGTGTGAATCATCGCTAAACGATGGATTCATTTTGACAACTGAGTCCTCCACCTTGCCTGGTGTATTCACCGATACATTTGAATCGTTAAGCACTGTAACACCGGACAGTGAGATTTGCACGAGTACCCAATAAGCAATTAAAAAATTTTCCAGTCACAAAAATAACATATGTTTCGAAATAAATGGGCTCATCAAATTAAATAGTAGCAGTAGGACAGTACAAAAAAGTCACCAGTAAATTCATGTTTTCTGTAACCGCAAAGCCTCGAAAACTGCTTTGAAGCTTCCACGGTCATGATATGCTTACTTCTTATCCCGCTAGAACTGTCAAACTCCGCAGAATGAATGATTCTTTTAACTAAAACATGGTCATACTTCTAATACTTAGTGACGAAACACATACTTGACAAAATCCTTCGTTGACCGAAGTAATTTCCAGTATCGAATACAGGTATCTCCCGTTGTTTTCGGTACTCGTTGGTAGTAGTGTCAAAAATAATTTCCGGTTCATCCGAGAGTATGTTCTGTTGTTCCACTATGCTCAAATTGGCTGTATCCTCAGCCAGTTTTTCCACTGTATCATCGTCAAAACTATCAATAACAACAAGCTGAGTATTCATTTCTTCTGAAATGTTTTTACGGATAATTTTGAGAGGAACAAAACATGTAATTCTCCAGAACATAAAACTATTTTTTGACTTTGAAGGACAAAAATAAAACCTTGAGTACTGAAAGCAGAATCTTTAGCAAGTTTTGTTGCTGGACTCACATATTTCGGGGACAAGTTAGAGTTCTGAAAACAGCAAAGTTAAAAAACCAAATATTACAAAATACGAAAAAAGCTGAGTATGAAGACTTTACTCCATAGTTTTATGAATTCAACGCAAAAGCTATCATCAAGTAAATGAAGATTACAAGCAAGATTTGAAGTTACCTCAGCACTCTTTTCAAATCGAAGTTTTCCGATTGGTAATAATAATTTCGAAGGATGAGGTCGACGTCTGTATGCTGGACCACTTCTCATAACATTATCGACAAGCATTTGGCTTATATCTGGAAATTAAAAATTAAATAAATTCTTCAAAAAACTCAAAAAAAAAAGTCACCAGTTTTTGCAATAGGCGTTCTTGGAATCGACAGTAGTGAATTGTCTCCTGTAATTCCTTTCCATTTCTTTTCTGTACTGGAAGTTGGACGAGGCGTTCCACCATTTTTCAAATGCTCGAAAGCAAAGCGTGACAGTGGTATCTGCGCGACCGAACACGTGGAATTTGTGGACTGATCCTCAAGTTTAGCTCCACTGCATTCCTTAAAAATTTTGTTCATTCAGGATTATCATTATTATGAAAGCAAGATTGACAGAAAAGATATTTTTTTACAAGTTAGGGACGAAGTTGATCAAATCAGTGCTTCAACTACATTTCACAATTTGAAACTTATCAAGAAATATATAGAATAGGAAATTTCATACTTGGCGTGGTGTATGTCTTCTATTAAGGACGTGTGACTGAGGCGTCAATTCATAATCGACTAAAGTGCTCCGCTATAAAAATATATTTCAAAAAGCTAAAACTTTGCTTACTACAAAAGAGAAAGATTTCATAGAAATTTGTAATGTTATCTTCTTCAAGCTCAACAGATTTGTACTCAAATACTTCATCATTATATTGAGACAAATTTAATAAAAGCCGTACTCTTGACAAAGGAGAAGTTCCATACTGTGAAATTGCTGCTAATGCACTGGTTGGTATAGGTATTCGAGAAGGTGTAGAAGATTTCCCAGTGGTTAGTTCACAGGAAACATGTGCCGAGCATGGCGATGGACGGCGTAATGGCGTCGACTGACACAGTAAATTTGATTACACTTTTTTTTTTCTTCCATTTTAGAATATATTGGCAAGTTTTATGATAAAATAAATAATGATTCCTTGATTTAATTCAAAATTTATATCGAAATACAGATAAAATAAAATACCGCATCCTCAGGTATAATTCGGCTATGCAATAACAATGGTGTGCCTGATCCTGTTTGCGTAGCGTGACTAAAACATTGTTTTTCAAGCAGAATCAAAGAAAATTTCAAATGTTCCAAAGATGAATCTTTGTAACTAGAAGATATTTATAAATTAGCATTAAAAAAGAAAAAAAATTCGCACGGTCGAAACAAGATTATTTTAATGAATAATAAATCTTCAATAAATCTCCATCATTCAAGCATATTTCCCTCAAGGAAATTAAGACTATGTCTGAGAATTAGGTTTGGTTACCACATAAAAACATGACATTTACCTAGCCAAAACAGCATGATGGGCAACATAACGCGGACAAACGTAATAAGCAGATTCTTTAACTGGAGTACTAGTGCCACGTGAAGCTCCAGCAATAGATCTCTAAAACAAGTGCTGAAAATTTCGGGAAAAAATTCTAAAATTCTTAAGGACACTACAACACATGACTTACTTTTTTGAACAAAGGTGTAGCAACTGCAGGTTGTTTCCCGACAATTACACGTTCCGCTACTGTCCTCATATGTTGCTTAGGTGTTTTGAATGACACAGTAGTTCGATCGTTTAGACGTGAAGTATTTAAACGTGTAGTACCACTATCAATCTGTTCCAATAAAAAAGAGGGAGAAACCTGAGAAGCTCGTGGATTCACTGGAGAAATCTGTAATCTCTACAGTGATCAAAGATATATAACAAAAAGAATTATATGAGTGAAAGAACTGGAAACAAAATTTCTTCTATTAGCCGAACAGAAACAGACTCATCAACAGTTAGTGAGGATATCAAAAGGAAAAGGTTAAGCTTACGTGCCTCACTTTTTCCACCAACTGACGAATCAATTTTATCAATACAAGATAAATCAAATGTTGCTTGCAAAGAAGCAGGATATCCAAAAACCTTTTGGTTTGTGGGCTGTGGTGATATCCCATCTTCCTGAAGAAAGCTGCTGTAACTTATGAAAAATAAGAGTGAAGATGAAAACACAATGAAAATAACCACAAGACTTTTGATTATCATAAAATTAACAACGCTCAATGAATGATTTATCCTGAACCATATCTTTTAATAAAATTGAAGCTGGTAATTAATATCATTAACTCTAATGCAAGAACAAAAAACAGTTATTTAAAATTATCACTTGAAGTAATAAATGTGCTGATTTTTCATACAAGATTTACAGAAACAGAAGGACTCGTCAATACTAAGTGGTGATATTAAAACATTATAAAGTAAACTAGCATGGTGAATACTGGTCGAATTAGCTGTTTGCATTATCTGATTTCTAGCCACATCCAATGCTTCATTCTTTTCCCGCTGTGAAGATGTATTTTTTGCAATCTAAAACAACTATTTTTCATTTTTCCTTAAAAAAATATCAGTTACATTTAGCTACATAGGATTGTTAATTAATAAAGAGTTAGCTCATTCACCTTGTAAATACGATCAATTTTAATGTAGAAGATTCTTTGCTTTCCAATGCTTTTTAGCACTCCAGCAAAATTTTCAGCAATCTCTTACTTCATTCTGAATAAGTTACTTAAAGAAGTATGAATGAATAACACTACGAGATACAATTTTAATTTTACTCGCCATCAATCTAAATCAAACAAAGTTTGTGAGTTCCTGCATTTGATATATCACCAATCAATGCTCCTCTAAATTTTTTTGAAATAAAGGTTAGAGATTCCGATATTGAAGACGTCTATATTCAAACGATAAATGTGAGAATCAGAAATGACCATTCATACAAGCTTACTTCATCAATAGACTCATGATCGAGTACAGAAGCATCGCGTTGCTCCTTCCATTCTTTTTGTGCCTGAATCACCATATTGCCCTGGAAAATCTGTAATTAAAGAAAAAACGTTCATATTGAAGTAAATTTTATATTTTTAACGCCATAACAAGAAAAAAAGAAAACCTCAGCTTCATGTGATTTCTCAACAATAATTGTTCCATCCAATTTAAGTCCTAATATCGATTTACATTGTTCACTGCTGCTCACGCGGTCTTCACCAGCAAGCAAAAGAAAGTCATTATTATCCTCGTTTTTTTCGATAGTATATGTCACGTTTGTGCCACTGTTCTAAAATTACCGAAGTCCCAAACGAAGAAAAAGATGTCGAAGTACCTTCGACATTTGGGGAATGGAAAAGAAGCTTCATCGAAACTAACCAAAACTGGGTCGACAACTTCATGCGTGTCTTGGCTTTGAAGATATGAATTGTGACGAAAGTAAGAAGCTGAAAACGCAGTATTTTCAGGCATCGGATTTTAAAATTTTTTCTGATAAAAAGTATTTTATTGAAAAAACGATTAAAAAAAGATACTAAATCATTACAGCTGTCAACCTCCATCGGTTCACCAAAATCGCTAACGTTGTTTTCGCTGCTTACAGTTTCATCAGTGGCAATTTTTCCTCCCTCATCAATGAAAGTGGTGACGTTTTTCTTCTCACTTTTGCTTACTGAAACATGTCTATTGTCAAATTAAGGTTAACACAGAAGTGAACAATTTTTGTAGGGACAAAAAAGTGCAAACCTGACTCGTGGTCTGTATTATAGGACGTTTCAATATAAGTGACACTGAAATCTGGAGTTGGCGCATGATCCGTTAAGATGTTAAAATTAGGGTGCGTTTCTCTCTCCTTAATGAGATCAAATCACACATCACAACCGTTTAATACTACAGAATTCTACAGTAAAGTAATCTTCGGTATCACGTAATGTCACATTCATAAAGCGATCAATGCACAGTCACAATTAACATCAAGAGTCAAATAATAATGCAAGAAAATCAAAAAGTGGGCAAAAAAAAACTTCGGAATATTACTTTTTTTAATCTCTCCTTTGCTTCCTTCCGAAGAACTTCCAGCTGATCATTCTTAATTTCATTTTGCGTAGGGAGAGTTTTTACTTCATCCAGGAAATCTGGTGCATCTTCCAATTCCTCCGAACCATAATATCCCGTATCGAATCCTCGCCAGCCGTACAGCTGGTCAATGCAAATTATTTTCTAAAAATTAAAAAAAAAATGTGACATTAAACTTATTAGAACTTACAATAATATAATATATTTTGACATCTGTCATATAAATTGATGGTCAACGCTAATATAATAATATAACATAGAACACTTGCCCGGCCACATTTGATACTTCTGGTGTGTTTGAACCATTTCGGTAACATATTGCTAATATCCCGGATACACTCAGATTCTGCTTCCACTGCTGACATTCTCTACTACAAATGAGGTAAATAAGGACAACATGACGTGACGTGACGTGCACTACGCTTCCCCTCTCCCTCATATTTTCTACACCTCAATAAGCGTGCCAATAAATCATACAAGGAAAATTCCCGCCATCTGAGTGAAACCACGAAATCTTGGACTATGAGATAGGCTGTGAAAATATTTCGTATTTACAGAGAGAGGAAAAGATATAGAGAATGTACACATAACGGTATTCGAGGATATAGATGTCGCTCTCAGAGGGGAGATAATTTACTTGTTCTTTTTAATGGGATTCAAGGGATGCATTCCCTGCTCTTTCGCGGTGAAGCCACATTGTTTCCATGTTGAGAGGACGAGATAGCATGATGGTTTTATAGGCATTAATATCCGTTAGAGTTTTGTTAGTTTGCTATTGTCGCAAGTGGAGAAAGTTTGAAATTTATATAGTGGCACAATGTGCTAGTAGTAGTAAATAAAGAGATATCGGGATATGAAGAGGGAGGAAAGATTGACAAGAAACGTGGAAGGAAGAATGAATCATCGGCGATGATGGATTCCATAAAGGAATGATAGGATGATGTTGACCGCCGCTCATTTTTATTGCCACAGTTTCAATTTTCGCAGAAAGTATGCAAATTTTCGAATATGAACAATCTGTGAAATGTTGTCATACTGCTGAAATAGGATCAACAACAACGCTTTTGGCATCAGATTGATACAGATGTTATATACGCTTACTTGGATATCGCAAATATTACACAGATTGTGGAACTACACATGTCTAGATGCCATGCTCAACATGTTTTAATGGGACAGAACTTTCGACTTATTAATGCTTTGATATGAGGCATGCTTTAATATCTCGGACTTTTCAACATCATGTAACATATCACGTGTATTTCGGCCTTGCATGCATTTTAAATTATATATGTTCGTCCCGATGTCATGCACAATGGAAGGGTACACATTTAAATATCGTAGATGATTAGTTTGTCACACGCATGATAACATTACGCAAGTTTGAACACAATTCATATTCAGTGCGACGTACCTTCCAGTTTCATATACATTTAAAGGCACACTTATTTCTGAACGTTATCATATTTCCTTACACAACGAAATGTCACTCACACTCCCCAATATCACACAAGTTTTCAACACACAGACTTGTTTTCATATTACGCATGTTTCCACGCTAATTATATTTCAATGTTATACTTATTCCAATGTCATGTGTGTTTTTACTTTGCAGGATAAAAAAGCACTAATCAGCATTAGAGTGGCTAAATCAGTCTATTAAGAAGTGATAGGAGATTTCCAAAGAGAATGTCTCCACGAACTTTTTGCTATTAACGAACTATTGAAGGATGAAGTGATGGCTCTCAACTTACTTTTCTCTTACCATTTCCAATTATTATTAGTTTGAATTTACTTTGTACATAGTCGAATATTATTATTAGTCCGTTAATTAGTCCATTTTGGATGTTTTTCCAATATTAAGTTCTGCTAAAGTTATCATCGTACAGTTGATGAGTTCGTGGCAAGCAAGCACTGAAGTCAAGAAAGCGGCCAAGGATTTTGTGGCTTTCCTCAACAAAGCTGTGACACCTTTTCATGGTACTCAAGTTTTATTCAATGCTTCTGAAACTACCGGCGGGTACTTACTATAGTTATACATCACTGGTATATTATAAATACAAAAATAAACCTCAAGTTGGAGGATTCTATAACTTGACGAAATGCCAAATTACTGACTCTATATGAATTTTACAGCTGTCGAGGAAAGCGCTAATCGATTAAGAGATGCTGGATTTCAAGAACTGAAGGAATACGAACACTGGATCATTGAACCGTCGAAAAAATATTTCGTGACGAAGTATGTTTCATTAATACGGATATGGTAAGCTAATGTACGTTCAGGATGAATTCCATTGAATGCAAATCACTATGGAGACATATAATCCAATCTTCAGGAACAAATCGACAATTTTAGCTTTTGCTGTTGGTGGGAAATATCGACCAGGTAATGGATATTCTATGGTTGTGGCTCACACCGATAGTCCATCACTGAGAGTAAAACCAATTTCAAAACTATGTGGTGACAAATACTTCCAGGTTAGAAGCTGTTTTTTCTTCTGTATCTCCACATTCCCGAGTGATAATAATTGAAATGGATTCAAATAATTAAGTAAATTGTTGCGGCAATCACGCCATTTTTTAAGGTTGGCGTTTCAACGTACGGTGGAGGAATATGGCGGACTTGGTTCGATCGCGATCTAAGTATTGCAGGACAAGTAATATACAAAAAAGCAGGATTTTTTTCTAATTTTTTGACATTTCAGACTCTTCTATGAGCAGCAAATTTTAATAATAATGACCATTATAAGATTTATGGTTTAAACATGGGAAGAGTGAGGTTTTTTCGCAAAAGAGTTTACGATTTTCATTGTCATTTTAAAATAATACTATGCAAATTTCTATACTACTCAATACGAAAATTTCCAGGATGATGCTATTATGCAGAAATTAGTGAACATTGATGCTCCTATACTTTTCATACCAAATTTAGCAATTCATTTCACTTCTGGCTCAGACCGCAACAAATTTGAGTTCAATAATGAGACCAATTTACGACCTATAATTGCCACTCTCGCAGCCGAAAATCTTAATAAAATGAATACGGTATCTTCTGTTTTATAGTTTTATGCAAAATTAAATATATGACGCTTAGTCAAAGGGATTTGGATGGTGTTTTCTATAATTTAATCAGTAAAAAGTTGAATTGGCAATGATTTTCTGCAGCTGCTTTTTACAATTTTCAAGTTTGTGAATACACTACCACGAATGCATCCTGTTGCAGGTTTAGAGTGCTTCTAACTTTAGAAAGATATGTAGTCTTTTTTTTTTTGAAGATGAAATGAAATAGTGACATTTTTAGGCGTTCAAAAAATATCAAGTTGGATTTAAAATATTTTAGAATGCAAAAGAATGCTCGGCCGATGTTGGCGATAACGTCAGCAGTGTGATAAACGATCATCACATGATATTTCTCGATACAATAGCGAATGCTGCTGGTTGCGAACCTGTTAACATATTGGATCTTGATTTATATCTCTATGACCATCAGAAAGCGGTAGAATTTGAACATTTCTCTACTTTTTTTTGTTTGATATCAAAGTTGCTAAATGACTTAAAGTCACAATCATTTAGACGATTGGAGGAGTCTATGAAGAATTTATCAGCGGTCAAAGACTAGACAACTTGGTTGGTGCATACACTTGTATCTCGGGACTTTTGAAGAGTGTCGCAACGGAGAACGCACTTGCTAACGAAGAATATATTAGATTGGCTGCCTGTTATGATAACGAAGAAGTGAGTGGTCTGTGAACTTTTTACGTTATTGTGATCGAACTCTTCAGGCAACTCTTTGGATTTTAGTGCGGAAGCGACTCAGCACAAGGCGCTGCGAGCAGCTTTACCGAATGGGTTCTAAGACGTTTAGCAGCAGGTCATTCACAAACGGCATTCGAGGAAGCTATGGGAAAATCATTTTTGATTAGTGCAGATCAAGCACATGCAGTGCATCCCAACTATAGAGAAAAACATGAGGTGAAGTTTAGCTGAATCTTTTTAAGTCTCATATCATTAGTCATTAGAATGAGTATTTATTCTTAGCATGATGATATTGCAGGAATGCCATAAACCAGACCTCCATGGAGGTGTCGTGGTCAAGATAAATGTTAATCAGCGTTACGCTACTACGGCTACTACACATAGTGTTTTGAAACAAATTGCAAGTCTGGCGGGTGTACCGCTGCAGGTATGAGCTTCTGCTTCATGTGTAATTTTGACTGATTATTTTGTGGGTTCCTTATCAGAACTGTAAAATATGTTAAAAAATGGATGCACTGTCCATTTAGCATATTTTGCAGTTCGGTTTGCTGTAGTGGAAGCATTTTCTGAATGTTTGAGAATAAAGATATTATAGCGATCTTCATCATTTAAACGAAAACATTCATTCTGTAATTTCGCTTTTTAAACCTGACCTGGGCATCTGGCGGCCTGCGGCGAGTCAGGCGTGGCCCTCCATCGAGTTTTTCCTACCCACAGAGTTGCGGGCGAAGCCTGCTTCTCCCCCTCTCGCCGCTCTTTCCTTGCCTTAAACCACAACCCTCAAATTTAAAGTCCATTGATCTTTCACCACAAGTTCATCATCTCAACACTAAATAATAATGTAATTAGGCCCTCCACATTTTCAGTATAGCATATATATATATATATATATATATGTATACGGACACGTTGTTGGGTGAAACTGAGTCAAGTATATTAGTCCGGTATACTAAAAAACCATCCCAATTTCTCACTTGAAAAAATTAACTGTCCACCCCTGTTCTAAACTATTTCAGGCAGTATGGCTGACTTCTCATTCCGCTTCAAATTTGCAAAGAAAATGTTGTCCGTCAATCTTAAATGTAGTACATATACGATAATTTACAGAAAGTAGTAGTTAGGAACGACATGTCATGTGGTTCAACGGTCGGACCCATACTTTCCACTCGCTTGGGTATCCAAACAGTGGATGTTGGTTGTCCACAACTAGCAATGCATTCTATACGCGAATTGACGAGTACATCGAGTATCCATCAGGCTACTACACTGTACTCAGTAAGTTTTCAAAGAACTTTCGTTAGACGAGAATTGAGAGCTACTAGTTGTCTGAACAAAGAATAGATGCTAGATTTTCCCTCAAATCCTAAATCTGTATATCTCCAAACAAATGAAAGTCTGTAGCATTTATTGTGATGTTAGATTGTTCGGTAGAGAAGTTCGGTTTTAAATTATTTGAAATCTTAATCGCTTCAGGCCTTCTACCAACAAATTCCGCATGTTTTGGCATCCATTTCATGAAGAGATTAGTGATTTGCTTATTGTTAATCTTTGTCAGTTGTTATTATTGTACTAATTTTTCATTTCTGTTTCTTACTGGTATAGTTTTCAAAAAAAAAAAAAAAAGACAAGACTTGCAATGACATGGAATAAGCATATGGAATAAAGTACTATCAACTGTAATTACACTAACATTTATAGAAAAAAAGCAGTTCGCTGCTATCATTTCAAATATGCTTGACTTTAAGGGGGTGCTTCAGATCACATATCAAAAAAAATTGCAATCAGAAGTTTTCCGTCGCTATCCTCACCTACCCTTGCATTCCGCTTAAAAAACACTTTGCTCTCAAATTTCGCTTACATCCATGAATAAGTTGAAATTGCATTTGAAATGAATTAGATGTAAAGTAATTAATAGATGAACTGGTTTTGCGTTCCCCTATGTAATTTCTAACAGGGAAATCTGTGTCTCACTCAAAAACATCTTCATGCTCGCAGATATATTTGAAAACATCACGAGGTGTTTTTAACTTCTCACTATCCAATTCTGGGATCTCAAAACCGAATTCATCCTCCAGTGACATTACAATTTCAACGTGATCCAAGGAATCAAATCCCATATCCTTGACAAAATCACTATCTAATGTTAACGTTTCTTTTTTTTCTTCTGGAAATCGATCCCATGCACGAATTGCTTTCATAATCCGTTGCTCAACCTGAAAATCTACGATCAAATTAGTCATGCTCAGAGCAAAGGGAAATGCACCGCAATTATTTTTGCCTCTACTCATATAAAATTCTGTGTAAAAGGACAAACCTCTTCAAAAGTTAGTTTTTTCGGCGGTGTAAATGGTCCCATATCTTCCACAATTCTTGTTGAACGATATGCCGGTGTAGTCATAAAGTTCCTGGATGTACTATACCGCAATATCGTTTCCACTTGCGTTCTCTTCAATGGATGCATCGCTTGCGACCAAACTATTGCAGACCGCGCAAAATTTCCGCTAAAAATACCTCTCAACAACATCCCTACAAATGAAAGTAAATTATAGCAATTTATGTCAGCATTAAAATTGGTGGTCATCGATGCTAATGAAAACATACAACGAAGGCACAAACACAAGAACGCGAAATTATGCAACCACCAATTGTTAAAACAGATGTCTCCAAACTGGTCTCACTTCTTTTTCCATTAAAGGATACTGTCGGCACTTTCGTATATTCCACTTTCCTCCAATTTGTTACTCACCAATCAAAGTCAGTGAGGGGACAATAAAACTGGAACCTGCTGTACAGATCTTCCAGTCAACTCTTCTAAAGCGTTTTCAATTCAACTGTTCCTACCGATGGAGTTTCTATTAGCAGCGGAAACCGTCAAACCCACGCACTGTTCCCTCGACAGGCATCAGTGAAAAAACCCCCCAAAAGTCAAGAACGCTCGAGATTAACAGATTAACAACCAACATCATAAAATCCCAACACCGCCAAGCCTATACATCCTTAGGTACCGGACTTCAGTTCCATAAACTCCGATTTATCCTTTCTATAAGCTAAGTAATTGAAGAAAACTGCAAAAAAAGCTTCAGAAATTATGCAATGTCAAGACAACAACAAAATTTTATTGAAATAAAATAAGTTCGAATGAAAGCATTCCAGCAGACGTTTTTAAATCACTTATGATGTTTACGAAGATTAGTAAGGATCGCCTGAATCTCGTCACGCTTTCTCTTCGCACGAACATGCGAACCAATTCGTCTCTTCAAGAACTTTAATGCCTTTTTATCCTTGCTAAAATGTGAAAAAGAATAAGCAAATTCTCTACAATTAATTTATAGACATTAATACAATGTCCACATATAAAATTTTTGCATGTGGAATATCCGCATGTAAAATCTTTGAAAAACTCAATAATATCACCTGATTCTCAGCAGTTCCATTGTCCGTCTTTCATAAGGAGCAAATCCAGCTACCTCACGAATCAATTCACGAACAATCTTACTCCTCTTGGTTATACGCCCCTTACGTCTATTTTGGCGTACTTTCCTTTGATTTTTCGTTACCTACAAAAGTTAACCAGAGTTCACGAAGCCAGACAAAAACCTCACTCTGTCAGCAAACCACTCTGAATGTGAAATTAAAAATAAGGAAATTAATAAATAGAAACCTTGTAACCAGTATTAAGGCCTACAGCGACTGCTTCAACCGCGACCATTTTGTTTTCTGAAAAAGGGATTTGAGAAAACAACTGAAGCAACTTCAACTGTAAGTAACCAAGAAATATAGATATTCCAAATTTGATGCCGGTGCGACAATCATAAATTGAAAGGAGAACACAACATACATGAAGATTTATTCGCTGACATAAAAGCGGAACCATATGGAACTTTAAAAAATTGAAAACGTCAACAATCTGATTGGTGTATTAAAAATAAGAGAATGCTTCACACCAACACACAAGTATACAAGCTACGGCATAAAAATGGAAGAACAGAAGCGAGAAGTAGCTGCATTACAAACGTAGCACATGACATAAATTTGCATTATTTATAATTATAAAATGATGCACAAAATGTATTTACAAACTGTTTGGCGACTGAAATAAATAAATATCTTCGTTTCCAGTGGACAGAAGAGCTAGTCGATTTACTTATATTAATCCACACTAACTTCGAGAACTAACAACTCAAGTTTACAGAGAAAACCAAATTTGTCAATTGAAATACTTAATGCATTCTAAAATTTTACACGTAATTCACCTCGACGTCTTGCATTAAGTTTACCATGCTCATCTTATTTTTACAACTGTTTCCAGTACTACTAAAACAATGACAAATTCGAGCAATTCAAACGTAAATTTGAGTTTACAAATATTTACATTTGAAAACCCTGATAACAAAGAGGCAAAAAAAAAAAAAAGTTTTATATATAATGCAATAAATCAGCTGTAAGTAAGTAGCATTCTACGACTACGTACAACTTAAACTAGAAGACAAAATTTCCACAAATTAAGATCATTCGAAAAAAAAATCAGGGTGATATATTCCCTTCAACTTAATGTCCAATTGATTAATTTAAGAGGAAAAAGAATGAAGTCCATTTTAGTCAACAGAACTTTTGGTTCTGGCTTGTCCAACTGTAGGGTTCGTACTTATTCGCATCGGTGAATGTGAATGGTGATCACGAAACAACATTCTACTCTTTAAAGCGTTTATTTGTCCCGCATTTTTATATCCAATTGATTTCAGTAAATCAGAGAGGCCTGATGTCATGTAATTTGTAGTCGCAATTGAAGGACCAAATATATGGACGTAAGGATGCATTCTTTGTTTATAATTGCCTGCTTCTGCCTGAAACAAACTCTCATAAACATAGTGTGCGCAATGACTTTTCGGAAAACTGCTTCACTAAGGGATTTTACCAAATTCCATAAAGGAAGAAAAAGGGAACCACAAGTTTTCTTACCCTGAAAGTGGAACTAAGCAGAAGTGACAGATTCAATCAATGCATGCACTAACCAAAAAGCTGCTAATGATGCAAAATGGAAACAGAGCACCAAACAAAATTGCATTCACCATCATATTATCCGTTAAGCTAGTAAGAAGGGTAAGCACGGTGCCATAACCCAAAAAATATGGCCAATTACGTTCAATAAGATTAACGCGTGCTCGTAAGCCAATTCCAAGTGACATCCATAAGTACTCAAAACTAAAAAAAAATGCTAAACCGGATAGATTCACACATAGTCACTTCCCTTTGGGTTTAAAAGCCACTGTCTTGGCAAGCTACAAACATTATGTTCACCTACATCGATGAAAAAACTTCCTTAGGTTATTTCGAAATAAAGCAATATAAAATGAGATTTTTCATGCCCTCGGTCAAATCATATGCTGGAGGTGACGTAACTAGAGAGCCCTGTGAAAAAACTGTTACAGGTTAATGAGGAAAAAGTTAAGTCATCGCTGCCATACTCTCACTGATAAGAATGCTACTTACACAATCAAACACTAAAGCTGCTGCTGGAAAGAGCGCATGTATCCGTTACTAAAGCACCTGTATTGTTTATCAAAAACGAAAAAGACGAACCTGAACAAGGAATTAAGCAAGGTTATGTGGATAAAAGAAAATACTGTAGAGATAAAAGGTACCGGAACACTGCTGACGAATAGTGATTGCAAGAAAAAGACAGAATCGAGAAGTATCGAAGAACAAAAATCACCGGTCATTCGACTATAAATTAATGAAATATAATTTTACAATTTTCATATTTCAGTGTTACAGTTCAAAGCACCATTCAATCTATCGCCAACTGCCAAATTTTCTTATAAATAAATAGCAAAATCAAATATTAAGCCTAAATAACCACTTATTATCTCGTGTACACCAAATTCATAACAAGCGCATAAAGTTGTTAACTGTTAATTAAAAGCATGTTAACTAACTAACCTTAAGGACAGGCTTGGAGTTTGAACACCCGTGTATTTCAATGAAGCGTTTGCAATATCAGAAAACCATATACTATTGCAAACTCGTGAAATAACCAGAGCAGCGAGACATACTGACCCATGAAGTAATCGAAAAAATGTTGATGTTTGGTCAGGCATTGTTATACATAATACAAAGACAAGTACCATGTTCAAAGTGAGTGAATAGATAAGTCTGAAAACCAGTAAACACCTCACCTTAATTCATAAAACCTCTCACCCCGCTTTTACCAAAGTACTGTAGCTCATTAAATCATTAAACCTGTTAATTAAGGGAATGGTACAATTACCCAGTGATTGCTTTGGGTTTTTTAACCATTTCAACATTACGTTTCTCTTTTGTTGCACTAGCCTGTCGTCGCTGCTGGAGCACAGTAGTCATTTTTGGATGCAACAGCTCCTTTTGTTTATCCTCCATTTTCCTGCGCTCCACATTTGAGATCTGATCCAACTTATGAATTACCTGAAATCCTTATTTAACGGAGCTAGAGTCCTCATACAATTAACTAAAGCCATCTGACCACTTTTAGATGCAATAGCTCCCTTTTCCATCTCCAAATGTTTGAGTAACAATCCACAGATGTAAAACTTATACCCACAGATGCCACTTTTTTTTCCCCTACTTCTTTCTGGCATACATGAATACTTACACATACCAAATAAAAATACTCTCTGTAATCTGCAGCTTAATGACATCTATACGTTCAAGTGCATTGACGTACATGCTTCCACAGATATATTTACTTTCGCTTTTCAGTACTCACAGTGCAACACGATGAGTCTGCACAGTGCATGTTGGAAAAGCAACTTGCAGCAATCCGATGTTATGTATGAATTAAGTCTCCATGATGTGAATATAATGAATCCCATGCTCTAAACCGTATATCCATATACCACTAGTTACAATCCTACCAATTAATTCCATGAAACTTTTATTTTATGAATCAGAGCATTGTTATACTTATAGAACATAACTAATCCCCTTTACATGCTTGAGATTTTCTTTCTATAAACTGAAGATGCTCTCAATGTCACTACATGACAAATGCTTGACATACACGTCCATTGCAGACATTCTTGCTCTTCACCTAATCTCGAAAAATCAATGCATTATGCTAATAATAATAATCTATTATAAATACATACGAAAAGACTTCTCAGCGAATCTCTCAGACCACATAAGTAGTCACAGAAACACGTCGGCAAACCCATAACAGTTCACAGAACCCTGCCTCGCAACACCACGACACGTCCTCCGATGCAGGCACACCACTCACCTGCACGCCATTGTTCACTTGCACCAAACCTGAAGTTACCCAAAGATAAAATAAGCCACAAATCATACGAAAACCCAAAACGACAACGTAACGTGTTGTCCTGAAAAAGATGACCGAATGGTTTACAATGCAAGACCAAAAACATAAAGAAAGATTCCATTTCTGCGATCATCCTCTTCCTAAAATGACTCATGCATCAATAGTGATAGTAACAGATAAGGATAATTAAAGTCAGGATTGGAAATGTTCTTAACCCCCTCATTTTCCTGTCATTTTACCAATTCACTCCCCGCATTCCACCAGTTCACCCTCGCACTCCATCAGTCCATCCCCTCACTCCACCAGTCCACTCCCTCACTCCATCAGTTCACCCCGCACTCCACCACGTTCACCTCCGTAC